TTTTGGAAAAATTCATCTACTATCTACACTCAAAGGGTGGACGCAATGAATCCATTTATTGGACATGTTTGAATCGCAAGGATAAACACATTAATTGTAATGCCCGTTTGATTACGAAAAATGTTGGTGGAGGAGGAGATCAAATGCAAATTATAAAGGTGACGGGAGAGCATGCCCATAGCTTTGATCATTTGCGGCAAATTGAAAAGAAACTGAAAATGAATATCAACATTAAAAATGAAAATGATAGCTACTACAATGAGGACGATGATGATGATGACGACGACGAGGATGATGCGGATGGTAATGATTATAACCGATATGATGATCATTTTGGAAACGATAATGAAGAGCCTGATAAAAAAGGAAATACGTCGGAATTCCTGTGCTTGAATTATATTAAAAAAGAAAACACCTATGAAATTCCAGAGGTCATTAGAGAAACAACGACAACCACTACAGCGGCACCAATTAAGTATGAAATGGATCCTCTATTGGGTACAACAGAACATGTAGAACTGGGTACAATAGAACACAATGATTTTTTGGCCGAACATTCCGAAGATGAAGATCAAAATTATATACCATTACCCAAGGAAAGAAAGGAAAAGAAGAGAATTCAAATTAAAACTCAGCAATATTCCGCTGAGGAAGATAATAATGACAACGACGACGAAGAGGAGGAGGAGGAGACCATATACGAAGATGATGATGAAGATAAAGATTATGTTGTCTCCAAGAAACAAATATCAACATTTGCAAAAGATAACCCCAATAACATGGATTTGAGTAAAACTTTCAAATTGCGTTCCGCCAAGGGTGGCGTTGTCCTCTGTGTTGATGGCTATGTTTATAATTTAAAAAGTTCTGCTGCCGCCAAACGCAGTTATTGGGCTTGTATTAAGGCAAAACATGGCTCCTTGAAATGTCCAGCCCGAGTCACCACCATAAAAACAGCGGATGAGAAAAAAATCAAAGTTATTCGTGCAACCAATGCCCATAATCACGATGTGTGTGAAGCGGAAATTAAGAAGAGATTATATAATGAATTTTCCAAGTTGTCGGATATGAAGAAATCATTGAGACCGAAAGATATACTCGATAAATCGCTGGATGAATTGAATCCGGAAATTGCAAATATGTTTATGGGTAGCAGCCAAAGCAACAGCAGCAGAATTACAAGGAAGTCAGTGAAAAGCATGCAAGTATAAAAATATTTTTTTAAAATTCCGTAAATGTGTTACTAGTCCTTGAAAAAAAATATATGTATATTTTATATCGACGTCTTTTGATAGCCCTTGAAAAATATTCTAAAAAGCTTCTTCGTTGTCCTTGAAATGTTAGTTATAAAAATCTGCACTTGTTGCTAGCCTCTTTAAAAATATAAATATTTGTGAAAAAAAAATCCCCAAAAAAAATTAAAGATAGCCCGGAATTTGGAAATGTTGAGATCCGTTATGTTAAGGGATATGCTCTTCTTTGCAGGATTCCATTACTATCATGATGGGATGACCAAAAACTCATATCGTTGGGTTTGTTCCCATCGCAATCGTAGTCATTATCATGTGCGGATTCATACCAATTTAATTGAACCATGAAATTTGATCCGTCACAAATTGGAAAGGACATTGAGTGCATTTCATACATTATGTCCAATACAGTCAAAAGATCTATGTGCTCTAGGATAACAGAGAATTAATAGAAGTCCACATATTGGTGCGCTAGGAGCCCGTTGATAGAATTTTATTAAATTTATATATTTTTTATTCTGAAGAGTATGAAAAAGTTCGTACCGCCTAAACTTATTCTCATTTTCAGCTTTTAATTTAAATACTGGAAATTCTCATTTATAAAATGTTTTGAAAAGCACAGGTGTGCAGCAAACATGTATTTAAATTATTTTTTTTTTCAAGACATTATGTCGGTGGAGAATAATGACATCATAAGATAAATGGAAGTTATACTATGTTTATTATAGTGTATATAAGTCGCCTAATGGCTTTACTACATCAACTTCAAATCACCAAAATGGGACGGAACAGTTAATGGAAATGACGCTATAAAATGCTCCTTATTTTAAAATTGTTCTCCTAAGAAATATTTTGTCTTTTGGGAACTCGATATGCCAAATTACAGATCCTTCGGTCGGGTTATAGTTCTAGGAATTTTAAAGTACCTGTATTTAAAAAAAATCCGCCAGTAGAGCTTTTTGTTGGTGGCTATTGATCTGAAACATTCCACTAGGAGGTTTGTAATTCCCTGAGAGCCATAAATATTCCTATACATGCGACTTAACATTGCATTTTTAATATTAAATATTCCACGGGGGTCAGGAAGACATATTTTATAGGAAACTCCACATAGATCTTGTCCACAAGGTCTATGTCATATTTTTTTGGATGGAAATGGTGGAGTGGAGCCAATATAAGGTCGTACAGATGGACGACTGCGATCCAGTGTAGCTATTTAGCGCAAGCTCGTCAGCTATTTCCTTTCCATCTATTCCACTATGTTTTGTCGCAGAGCACTTTTACAGTCCGAAACTGTTTTCGAATTTTATAGTGCATGATTTAAGGACTACCTGACTATCGATATATATAGTCACCGATCCTATATTATCAGCAGCAAGTATTTGAACTATTTCAGTCGCTTTCGTAATTGATAGGATATCTGCCTGAGAACCGTTACATAGATCGTTAAATTTATGTGAGCTATTTATAGCTAATTCCTTGCAATAACACCTGCACCAGTACCTTCCTCAATATTCGAATCGTATGTATATATCGACAGACCAGCCAGTGGTGAGGATCCACTTGCCCAGGATCCCCTGTTATTAATATTTATTCAAATGACATCAAAGTCAATATGGAAGGATTGTAACCACTGATGTGATTGTTCCTATCTAAAAAGTCTTAACGGTCTTAAAGTTCCTATCAATCTGTCAAAACATCTAGTCTTAGGTCGGTTGCCCATGCAAAATTTCCTTGCCAATGGAATAGACGTGATGTCTATCGTTCATCATTTACATGAAATCGCTATATATCTAACAGATAACAGACCACTACAGATCTGCTTCGATCTTATCTGATTGCCTTAAAAAACTGCACGTCATGTAATTTACTCAATGAACGAGAATAGTAGACTTTCAGATATCCAAATATGTGGGAATAAGGGAAGACCATTATTCAGGAATCCAAGTATAAGAAAAGAGCTTCGGGTATGTATAACAGAAGACCTTCAGGTAATATCTATAAGGGATGAGACCTGAAGCTCTATATACAACAGAAGACCTTCAACTACCTTCAGATCTCCTATACGAAAATACATACAAGTGCTATTAGACCTTCTAGGTCGTCTATTTAGACCTGTAAGACTCCATCTATAAGACAGGACCTTCACTCAGGTATCCTAGTATAAGATGTGCTTCAGGTCTTTATAAGAAAAGTAATTCAGATCTATATCTATAACAGAAGACCTTCTGGTATTCATCTATAAGAAAATACTTTCTGATCTCTTATGCGATAATACATACAAGAGCTAATATACCTTCTTTTAGACCTTCAGGTCTCCATCTATAAAAGAATACCATCAGAACTCTAAGTTAGGTTAGATTAGGTTTGGGGATGCGCAGTCACTAATGTGGCAGCAGCACTTTGAGACCAACTAGTCTATTGTGATCATCCATGAAAAATATGGAGAGATCTGTAGGGAAGAGGAAAGTGAGGAAAAGAGATAAAAAATTATGAAGCTAAGAAAGAAGGAAGTATGAGGATGTAGGTAGTTTCGATAGTAATTCGGGCAGAAGACATATTACGTCCTACGGATGCACTCTTCCAACCACTTATGGTTTCTACTGATGCTGTAGATTAAAGTAGGTTCCATAGTTGAATAGAAGCTTAAACACGGTGGAAAGTGAGCAGCGAATAGTCTGTGTCGTATGTAGGCCACGACTGGACAGCGACACAAGCGACACAAGAGCTCAATTGTCTTCGTCCCCTCCTCGTCAACACAGAGTATGCAGTAGTCTGTAACATCATGGTTCCAATTACTGGTAAAGGCCCTGGTATTGCAATGACTCCTATCATTATTCTGATAGGTTCAACAGTGAGTCGGCCACAGAGATCTTGACACATTGACATCTAGGTTCATTGGCTCGTTCGTCGAAGAACACATCAAAGTTCCGAAAACGGTGACAGATGGGTGGTCATCGATTGCGAGATCTGTAAATTGAGATCCGCGTCTAGCTAATTCATCTGATTTTTCATTGCCCGTGATGTCACAGTGTCCTCGTACCCAACACAACCGATAGCTATAAACAAGTGTTTCCAAAACTGCTCTAAACTCGAGGTTGACCTCAGATTTGATGTTGAAGGATTTGATGGCTTTATGAGCCGCCTGACTATCCACAAAGGAATCTTTTTAAAAGAAAATACTTTCAGATCTCCAAACCGATAACACTATAAATACTTTCTGCTTTTCTTCTATATGTGAAGAAAACACCTTGCTTGACTTTCTGCTTCAATCCACCTATGGAATACATACGGATTTTACCAGATTTTCTACATATATAAAAATCTAGTCCAAAGCCCCCAAATGATTCTACACACAACAACATATATTTAATAATATATAAATTATGGACTCAGAACCCACGTATCCCAAAAAAATTCTCATTAATGTAGTAACTTAGCCAATGAGGCCAATGACAAATTCTTAACTAATGCCTATATGAAATATTTTAGGTACACAAATATAAGAGATCAGATCTATGGCTAAAAAATCAAAACAGTATTTCAAAACAATTTTTTACAAAGAAGGGTATACAAATTTCGAGCTGACCCCTTACCTAATATCAATTTTTATTATTTATTATTAACTATGCTACTCGAATAATCGCCGAAGAGCAAGTTTTTTTTTTATCCAAAAACAAAAAAGCTTTCACACAAAAAGCTAGCTTTAATGATGATGGCTAGCTGACTGGCTAGCTCTCTAGCGAACCAGCCAACACAACTTGTTTTCTCAAATGCACAAATCATTAAACATTCCATCAGCAAATAGTTCAGACGTCGTTGTACAAAGAAAGCGAAAGGTAAAAAAATTATAAAAATAAAGACAAATGGGTGATTGTGTGTGTGTGGGTTTGTGATGACAAGTGGGCTGCTGGCTGTCTGGCTATTTTGTGCATCGTTGGCCAAAAAAAGAAAATCTTAATGGAAAATATTTTTAAACCCATATTTAAAATATTAAAAAAAACATATAGGGAAATGAAATAATCTATCCTCTAAATAACCCTGATAGTTAGTAATTAAAAATTAGATCATAATTGAGAAAACCGGTTACATGCCATAGGCTTTACGTTGCCCTTGGCAATCATTATTTAATATTACTTTCTGTTTTTTCTCCATCTAGACGCAATATGAAACTCTATGCTGTATCTGATGGCCCACCATCTTTGGCTGTACGCATGTGCTTGAAGGCCCTGGAAATACCCTATGAATTGCACAATGTAGACTATATTGCCTCGGAACATTTGTCGGAGGAATATGCCAAGGTAAGGAAAAAAATTCAAATAAACATTTGAAAAATAAATTAATACCAAAATGTTCCTCTTTCATTGCAGTTAAATCCCCAAAAAGAAATTCCCGTCTTGGATGATGATGGTTTCCATCTATCGGAAAGTATTGCCATCATGCAATATCTGTGTGATAAATATGCTGGCGATTCTCCACTTTATCCCAAGGAACCCAAACAGCGAGCGTTAGTTAATCATCGTTTGTGTTTCAATATGGCTTTCTATTATTCCAGCATTGGGGCGTACAGTATGGCACCGATATTCTTTGATTATCAACGTACCGAAATGGGCAAAAAGAAAGTCGAAAATGCTCTACAAGTTTTCGAAACTTATTTACAAAAGCTGGGTACAAAATATGCGGCTGGTGATAATTTAACAATTGCCGATTTCGCCTTGGTCTCAGCCACTCTATGTTTGGAAGGCATTGCTTATGATTTTTCCAAATATCAATTGGTCAGCAAATGGTATCAAACATTCAAACAAGAATATCCACAATTGTGGGAAATCGCCAATGGTGGTATGCAAGAGATTACCGAATTTGAACATAATCCACCAGATTTGTCGCACATGAATCATCCATTCCATCCAACAAGAAAATCAAAGGCATAAAATATTTTGTTTAGACATTAAATTAAGAATAGAAAGTTATTGAAAAAACATTAAAAATATTTTGAATCTGTGTATTAAAAATAAATAATTTTTATTATTCTAAATAAAATAAAAATTATTGTCTTATTTGTAATGACATTGAAATTGTGTTAAAAAAGAGAATTATGGCCAAGGGCCTTCTTTGACTCTTCATTAAAAAGCAGACCATAGAGATTTTTAAATGAGATCAGACAAAATGATTCCACATATACAAAAATAAGACCCAGTAATATTCATTTATCAAGAAGTCCATGAGGTATTCTTTATATAAGGAAGACCATACGGTCTTCTTTATAGAAAAGGCCAAGGCCTTCTATATACAAAAAGTAGACAAGGAGGCTCTTCTTTATAAAAAGGAGACAAGGACGAAATTTTTATGAAAAGACAATGTGGTGGAGGATGTCTTCTTTATGAAAAGAGGACGATGAGGACTTTTGTATTAAAAAAAGAATACCAATAGGATTTTTTCATAAGAAGAAAATCAGATACATTTAAAGAAAGAAGAACACAACGCCTTCTTTATTAAAAGAAGACCATGAGGTCATCTTCATAAAAAATAGCACGAGGAATTCTGAATAAAAAGAAGACCACAATGACTTCTTGGACATAAGGGTCCCACGAATTTTTTTCTGTAGAAAAAACTTGGACCTAAGGGTCTCAGGAATTTTTTTCTGTAGAAAAAACTTGGACCTAAGGGTCTCACGAATTTTTTCTATAGAAAAAAAGTAGACAAGGAGGCTCTTCTTTATAAAAAGTAGACAAGGACGAAATTTTTATGAAAAGACAATGTGGTGGAGGAGGTCCTCTTTATGAAAAGAGGACTATGAAAAAACTTGGACCAGAGGTCCGACGAATTTTTTTCTATAGAAAAAACTTGGACCAGAGGTCCGACGAATTTTTTTCTATAGAAAAAATTTGGACCAGAGGTCCGACGAATTTTTTTCTATAGAAAAAACTTGGACCAGAGGTCCGACGAATTTTTTTCTATAGAAAAAACTTGGACCAGAGGTCCGACGAATTTTTTTCTATAGAAAAAACTTGGACCAGAGGTCCGACGAATTTTTTTCTATAGAAAAAATTTGGACCAGAGGTCCGACGAATTTTTTTCTATAGAAAAAACTTGGACCAGAGGTCCGACGAATTTTTTTCTATAGAAAAAACTTGGACCAGAGGTCCGACGAATTTTTTTCTATAGGTCCGACGAAAAAACTTGGACCAGAGGTCCGACGAATTTTTTTCTATAGAAAAAACTTGGACCAGAGGTCCGACGAATTTTTTTCTATAGAAAAAACTTGGACCAGAGGTCCGACGAATTTTTTTCTATAGAAAAAACTTGGACCAGAGGTCCGACGAATTTTTTTCTATAGAAAAAACTTGGACCAGAGGTCCGACGAATTTTTTTCTATAGAAAAAACTTGGACCAGAGGTCCGACGAATTTTTTTCTATAGAAAAAACTTGGACCAGAGGTCCGACGAATTTTTTTCTATAGAAAAAACTTGGACCAGAGGTCCGACGAATTTTTTTCTATAGAAAAAACTTGGACCAGAGGTCCGACGAATTTTTTTCTATAGAAAAAACTTGGACCAGAGGTCCGACGAATTTTTTTCTATAGAAAAAACTTGGACCAGAGGTCCGACGAATTTTTTTCTATAGAAAAAACTTGGACCAGAGGTCTCACGAAATTTTTTTTTATAGAAAAAACTTGGACAGAGGTTGGAAAAAACTTGGACCAGAGGTCCGACGAATTTTTTTCTATAGAAAAAACTTGGACCAGAGGTCCGACGAATTTTTTTCTATAGAAAAAACTTGGACCTTACAATATCTGTGATGACCGGAGGTTATAGAATATCAGAATGGTAGATGTTGAACAGTTCCGGACAAACAACCCCCATATTGGTGAATTACCCGTTTCACGTTACAGGTCGTCGACTTTCTGTTTCTGAATTCCACATATGACTGGCATCCATAGTTTAATTATCCAACGTTTCAAACACGGTCGAAGGTTGATACATCCATCGTCGGTCTTCTTGAACCCCTTACTGGGTGGCTGAGAAGACATGCTATTTTCTATAAGGTAACTCTTTGGATTTCTTAGGATCTTCTTCTTTTTAAAATGCATTCTGTTTGAGAATGTATTCCCATTTTGCTTTCAATGCTAATATTTAATCTTATTCTACACACTCACCTAAAATCCTCTATCAGACTACCAATTGCCGCTGACAGCTTACGATGTTGCCGCCCCCATGCTGATTCCTCGGTGACATCACCCAACAGCGCCCTGGGATCTGGATCTAAATATTTATCCAACTGTTTTTTCGCACCCTTGCTGAGCAAATCCATTTTTGTCAGGACATTAACGTGAGGCATTTCCAAATTTGCCATTACACTTAGGGCGGCCATGGTGCCCGATAGAAATTTGGCACCATCTATCATAAACTGGGAATCGACTAGAAATACCGTGCAAATACGAAAATTCCACGACTCCAGCAGCTGGACCAATTGTTTGCCCATATTTAGATGAGTGAATAGTTCAATTTGTCCCGGCATATCGAAAAGGATATAATCATCATCCGGTTCACCGCCCAACTCATCAGCAGCATCTTCATCATCATCGCCACCACCACCACACAACTGATTTTTTAACCAATCTTGATTTTCGATCAGGAATTCCAAACAAAACACCAAACCACCATTCGGACCGAAATGCAGCTCTTCATCGTCCATGGCATCATCCAGCTGTATTAGGTCACGTATATCCACCAGAGGTTGATAATCAAAATGTTCCGCGGCGGGATCTAGATTGACAACTTCAATAACACGTTTGGAATCTTGTGCATGCCGTTGCATGAATGAACAGTAAGTGGACTGTGGGAGAGGGAGGGAAAATAAATGAATTTAGTTATGGTTATTCCAGAATAAGGTTGTCTACTTTGCCACTTCCTGCTGGACCTATCACCACCTGAGCGTAGCGCATTGTTATTGGTTGTTCCTCGCCGATTTGGATTTGGACGGTTTTAATGTGACATTAGTGCCGCAAATGGTTCACGAAGAATATTCATAGCAAAGAACCAAGGGAACTAGTTGAAGGTTTTGCAAAATTTCACAACGAAAAAAGTGTGGCTAATTTAACGTAAAAAATCGGATATAAAAATGTTCTGTTTTATATAGAAAACAAATTCATTGGGACTCCGATTAAAATTGAATGTATAGAAAAAAAATGTGAGACCTTTGGATCTACTTTTGGAACAACTCTAGTATAGTAAAAAGATCAGATTTTTCTGAATTTTTTTCCAGAGATAGGCATTTTTACCCTAATTATGGGGATATATTTTTTTCTTGGGGGTGGTACCCCGTTACTTGACCCGGAAGTTCGGGTACCCGTTTATATCCGGTTCTACCGATTCGGTTAATATAATATGGGTATAATTTTAAAGCTTATAAAAATACGTTCTAGGTCAAATAGCGGGGTAACCGGGTACGTCCCCCAAGAAAAAAAGATATCTACATAATCAGGGTAATAATATCTACCTCTGGAAAAAATGTCAGAAAAGTCTGATCGTTTTTACCAGGGTTAAGCTCTACTTTTTCGCAGGACTTCTGGTCCAACTTTTTTCCATAGAAAATTTTTGAGACCTTTGGTTCCATTTTTTCTAAAGAAAACAATTCTTGAGATCTGTGGATTGATTTTTTTCTATACAAAAAATTCGTGAGACCTTTGGTTTGATTTTTTTTCTATAGAAAAAAATTCGTGAGACCTTTGGTTCTAGTTTTTTCTATAGAAAAAAATTCGTGAAACCTTTGGTTTAAGTTTTTTCTATAGAAAAAAATTCGTGAGACCTTTGGTTTAAGTATTTTCTATAGAAAAAAATTCGTGAGACCTTTGGTTTAAGTTTTTTCTATAGAAAAAAATTCGTGAGACCTCTGGTCCAAGTATTTTCTATAGAAAAAATTCGTAAGACCTTTGAGTCGATTTTTTTCTATAGAAAAAAATTCGTAAGACCTCTGGTCAAAGTTTTTTCTATAGTAAAAATTTGTAAGACCTTTGGGTCGATTTTTTTTTCTATAGAAAAAAATTCGTGATACCTTTGGTTCAAGTTTTTTCGTGAGACCCTTAGGTCGATTTTTTTCTATAGAAAAAAAATCGTGAGACCCTTAGGTCGATTTTTTTTCTATAGAAAAAAATTCGTGAGACCCTTAGGTCGATTTTTTTTTCTATAGAAAAAAATTCGTGAGACCTTTGGGTCGATTTTTTTTCTATAGAAAAAAATTCGTGAGACCTTTGGGTTGATTTTTTTCTATAGAAAAAAATTTCGTGAGACCTTTGGGTTGATTTTTTTCTATAGAAAAAAATTCGTGAGACCTTTGGGTTGATTTTTTCTATAGAAAAAAATTCGTGAGACCTTTGGGTTGATTTTTTTCTATAGAAAACAATTCGTGAGACCTTTGGGTCGATTTTTTTTCTATAGAAAAAAAATTCGTGAGACCTTGGGGTCGATTTTTTTCTATAGAAAAAAATTCGTGAGACCTTTGGGTCGATTTTTTTCTATAGAAAAAAATTCGTGAGACCTTTGGGTCCATTTTTTTCTAATGAAAACAATTTGTGAGGCCTTTGGGTCGATTTTTTTCTATTGAAAAAAATTCGTGATACCTTTGGGTTGATTTTTTTCTATAGAAAAAATTCGTAAGACCTTTGGGTCGATTTTTTTTCTATAAAAACAGATTTGTGAGGCCTTTGGGTCTATTTTTCTATAGAAAAAAATTCGTGAAAATTTTCTAGAGAAAAAATTGAAATATTCATTGAATAAAACAAGTAGTTTTTGATTTCGTTTTTTTGTTATTATTTATATTTATAGATTTCAATATAAATCAAATATTAAAAATAGTATTCATCGGTATCATTTATGATCTGTGTTTTTTTTACAAGTAAAAATGTAAAATGTTCTTTCTTGAAAAAAATTGTTTGTATGTATGTGATACTATGCGCATTGAAACATAAACATATATATGGTATTCACATTTTTTTTAAGTATTAGCTCTCTTCTTTTTTGATTTTTGTTATATAGTTTTTATAAATTATAATAATGGTAAGTCTTAATTTTAAATAATTTTTTAGGGGGAAAATGTTAAAAAATTTAACAACAAATTAGGAGTTTTATAAACCCTGTAAATATATACTTTTGGAAATTATAAAAAAATATAATATAGAAAATATGGAATAGTTTATTAAATTATTAATAAAAGTAAGAATTAAAATAAAAAAACAACAACAAATTAACAAATTATAACCTAAACAAAAGTACTTTTTTTAAATTATAACCTATAAAAATAGTTCTTTTTTTTTTTGGAATTTTTGTTTTACTTCGTTTCATTATAAGGCAATTTTTCTTTCATTCTAATCGTGGACTAGACTAGATATAGGGCGAGAGTATAGTGTGTGTATATATATATATTTATGTATGTGTGTGTGTTATTTTGTGTTACAAACGAAAAAATAGAAAAATAAATCCAAACACGAATAACTGTATATTTATAGCCTAGAGGAATTACTTTCCATAATATATTGTGACGGCGCCAGACGTGTATAAAATAAAATGTAAGCAGCACTTGAGACCACCGTGGATTCGTCTTGGGGCGTTACCATTTGATCATCAAATTTAAACCATTTATTATAGGTTCCACTCTTACAGAACGCCGTGTAATGACCACTTTCCATAGACCCATAGTGATTGGAGACGGCATACAGTTCATAGGATTTCGATGTGCTGCGTCGCGATTCCGAGATCGTTATGTACGGTGACATATTTAGATTTTCCAAGGGAAAACGTAAATAATTTTGTTTTTTCTTATAGGTAGGACTTAGGGAGTCCGTGTCGGCATAGAATCTGAAAGGGAGAAGAAAAGAAAAATTAATGAAAAATAGAAAAACATTGGAGTAGGGTCTACGAATTATTGTCTATAAAAAATCTTGGAGAGTTACGGCAACTTTTTTTTCTGTAAAAAAACTTGAACCATAGGTCCGACTAATTTTTTCTATAGAAAAAGATTGGACCAGAGGTCGGACTAATTTTTTTCTATAGAAAACAACTTGAACCAGTGAATTTTTTTTTTATAGAAAAAAAATGGACCAGATGTCCGACGATAATTTCTATAGAAAAAACATGGACCAGAGGTCCTGACGAATATTTTTCTATAGAAAAAACATGGAGCAGAGGTCCTGACGAATTTTTTTCTATAGAAAAAACATGGACCAGAGGTCCTGACGAATTTTTTTTCTATAGAAAAAACATGGACCAGAGGTCCTGACGAATTTTTTTCTATAGAAAAAACATGGACCAGAGGTCCTGACGAATTTTTTTCTATAGAAAAAACATGGACCAGAGGTCCTGACGAATTTTTTTCTATAGAAAAAACATGGACCAGAGGTCCTGACGAATTTTTTTCTATAGAAAAAACATGGACCAGAGGTCCTGACGAATTTTTTTCTATAGAAAAAACATGGACCAGAGGTCCTGACGAATTTTTTTCTATAGAAAAAACATGGACCAGAGGTCCTGACGAATTTTTTTCTATAGAAAAAACATGGACCAGAGGTCCTGACGAATTTTTTTCTATAGAAAAAACATGGACCAGAGGTCCTGACGAATTTTTTTCTATAGAAAAAACATGGACCAGAGGTCCTGACGAATTTTTTTTCTATAGAAAAAATGTGGACCAGATGTCCTGAAAAATCTTTTCTTTTGAAAAAAAAATGGACCAGAGGTCCTGACGAATTTTTTTCTATAGAAAAAAAATGTGGACCAGAGGTCCTGACGAATTTTTTTCTATAGAAAAAAATGGACCAGAGGTCCTGACGAATTTTTTTTCTATAGAAAAAAAATGGACCAGAGGTCCTGACGAATTTTTTTTCTATAGAAAAAAAATGGACCAGAGGTCCTGACGAATTTTTTTTCTATAGAAAAAAAAATGGACCAGAGGTCCTGACGAATTTTTTTTCTATAGAAAAAAAAAATGGACCAGAGGTCCTGACGAATTTTTTTCTATAGAAAAAAATGGACCAGAGGTCCTGACGAATTTTTTTTTATAGAAAAAAAATGGACCAGAGGTCCTGACGAATTTTTTTCTATAGAAAAAACTTGGACCAGAGGTCCTGACGAATTTTTTTCTATAGAAAAAAAATGGACCAGAGGTCCTAAAGAATTTTTTTTCTATAGAAAAAACATGGACCAGAGGTCCTAACGAATTTTTTTCTATAGAAAAAACTTGGACCAGAGGTCCTAACGAATTTTTTTCTATAGAAAAAACTTGGACCAGAGGTCCTAACGAATTTTTTTCTATAGAAAAAACTTGGACCAGAGGTCCTAACGAATTTTTTTCTATAGAAAAAACTTGGACCAGATGTCCTGACGAATTTTTTTCTATAGAAAAAAATGGACCAGAGGTCCTGACGAATTTTTTTCTATAGAAAAAAATGGACCAGAGGTCCTGACGAATTTTTTTCTATAGAAAAAAATGGACCAGAGGTCCTGACGAATTTTTTTCTATAGAAAAAAATGGACCAGAGGTCCTGACGAATTTTTTTCTATAGAAAAAAATGGACCAGAGGTCCTGACGAATTTTTTTCTATAGAAAAAAATGGACCAGAGGTCCTGACGAATTTTTTTCTATACAAAAAAATGGACCAGAGGTCCTGACGAATTTTTTTCTATAGAAAAAAAATGGACCAGAGGTCCTGACGAATTTTTTTCTGATATCAAAAAAATGGACCAGAGGTCCTGACGAATTTTTTTCTATACAGAAAAAAATGGACCAGAGGTCCTGACGAATTTTTTTCTATAGAAAAAATCATGGACCAGAGGTCCTGACGAATTTTTTTCTAGAAAAAAATGGACCAGAGGTCCTGACGAATTTTTTTCTATAGAACTTAAAAAAATGGACCAGAGGTCCTGACGAATTTTTTTCTATAGAAAAAAATGGCCTCAGGGGCCTGACGAATTTTTTTCTATAGAAAAAAATGGCCTCAGGGGCCTGACGAATTTTTTTCTATAGAAAAAAATGGACCAGAGGTCCTGACGAATTTTTTTCTATAGAAAAAATGGTCCAGAGGTCCTGACGAATTTTTTTCTATAGAAAAAAATGGACCAGAGGTCCTGACGAATTTTTTTCTATAGAAAAAAATGGACCAGAGGTCCTGACGAATTTTTTTCTATAGAAAAAAATGGACCAGAGGTCCTGACGAATTTTTTTCTATAGAAAAAAATGGACCAGAGGTCCTGACGAATTTTTTTCTATAGAAAAAAATGGACCAGAGGTCCTGACGAATTTTTTTCTATAGAAAAAAATGGACCAGAGGTCCTGACGAATTTTTTCTATAGACCCAAGGGTCTCACAATTTTTTTTTCTATAGAAAAAAATGGACCCAAAGGCTTCACGATATAGAAAAACAGCGATCGAAGATCTCACGATTTGTTTTCTATGGAAAAAACTTCGTCGCACGATTTTTTCTGCTCAGAACTTACCTTTTCAAATGTATCACCAACACCGGTGGCAGTTTTGAGATATTCAATTTCTTGATGGCATCTCGCTTCTGTTTACATGCCGGACAATTCCAACCGCTGATCCGTTCCCCGCTAAAATACATATCCAAACATTGTGACAGCTGACAGATGTTGTTGTTCTCGGGCAGTTCGAGGCTTAAATTTGAAAAACATTCGTAGGTGGCCGATTCCTGATCGCATGTGGTACACTTAACAATACTTTTGATTTGGCCATAAAATAAATGCAGAATAAGGCTCTCTTTGGCCTTGGTAAAATCGAGCCAAGCCTTGTCGGAGGCGGTCATTGGTTCGCGGGGATATTCGGGTACGGTTAGAGTTTGTAAATCGGAATGTAGCCAGTCCATGAGTATGGTGAGAAATTCATGGGAGTCCTGTTGTTCGATGCCGCGGAACATTTTTTGATATTGGCCAATAACATACTGCGAAAAACGAAAAGAGGTTTTTATTAAATTAATTAAGGGGGTAGGGAGGGGTTCTTTAATTATTTTGGGGAGTTTGTAAGGCCATCAGTCATTAGCATAACATTTTAGAAAAACTATGTGCCAAAAAGAAAAAAAAACGTGTAAACCACCAAATGACCAACTTACACGCAAATCCTTGCTGGCCACACATTTATAGTTGCCATTCCACAGGACCTTTATTAGCGCGGCCACCTCTTCAACAATTTGTCCTTTTGTTTTATTATTGCGGCTAATATAATTCTTGTATTTGTCCGTAATACAGTATTCCGCCAATTGGGGGGTATTGCTAAGGCATTGCAGAATGCTATTCATATAGCAGGTGTTGCCTAAATTCTTTAAGCCGGTCAGACCGCGACCCTAGAAAAACAAAGCCACAGAGAGGAGGGAAAACAAAAAGAAATAAAATAAAAATTAAAACATTTATAGATGTGTGTGTATGTACGAGTGTGTGTAATTAAGTAATAATATTGTAATGGTGGGCACGAGTAATGTCCGACATCATAATAAACCATGTCTTAGACACCAGCGTTCGTACAGCTTGTAAACACAAGGAGATTAGCAATTATTCAGGGGTTTGTTACAATTATTTAAACAATAAGAAGAAGACAATCTACACCAATAATAATAATAAAAAAAACATTGTTTTTGTTGTTTATCCCATGTCATGACAACCAAACCAATATGACGAGACTTGTGGATATTATTCAAGATTCACGCTCGTGATGAGGGGGAGTTGAATGACATAAAAAAATTATTTCATATCAATTGCATATATGCGGTCTGTGACGGCATCCAAAAATGGGGAGGGTGGTGGTAGGCAGATGTCTATTCTTATACCACTTAGCCATTCGTAAAGAAAAAAAATCGTGGTATTCTTGGGTCGATTTTTTTGTATAGAAAAAAAAAATTTTCTATAGAAAAATACTGGACCAGAGGTCCGACTAATTTTTTTCCTTACAAAATATATATACAGGACCTGTGGTCCAATGTTTTTCTATAGAAAAAACTTCCTGTGACTTATGGTCCAAGTTTTTTCTATAGAAAAAAATTCGTCGGACCTCTGATCCAAGTTTTTTCTATAGAAAATAATTCGTCGGACCTCTGGTCCAAATTTTTTCTATAGAAAAAAATTCGTCGGAACTCTGGTCCAAGTTTTTTCTATAGAAAAAAATTCGTCAGGACCTCTGGTCCAAGTTTTTTCTATAGAAAAAAATTCGTCAGGACCTCTGGTCCAAGTTTTTTCTATAGAAAAAAATTCGTCAGGACCTCTGGTCCAAGTTTTTTCTATAGAAAAAAATTCGTCAGGACCTCTGGTCCAAGTTTTTTCTATAGAAAAAAATTCGTCAGGACCTCTGGTCCAAGTTTTTTCTATAGAAAAAAATTCGTCAGGACCTCTGGTCCAAGTTTTTTCTATAGAAAAAAATTCGTCAGGACCTCTGGTCCAAGTTTTTTCTATAGAAAAAAATTCGTCAGGACCTCTGGTCCAAGTTTTTTCTATAGAAAAAAATTCGTCAGGACCTCTGGTCCAAGTTTTTTCTATAGAAAAAAATTCGTCAGGACCTCTGGTCCAAGTTTTTTCTATAGAAAAAAATTCGTCAGGACCTCTGGTCCAAGTTTTTTCTATAGAAAAAAATTCGTCAGGACCTCTGGTCCAAGTTTTTTCTATAGAAAAAAATTCGTCAGGACCTCTGGTCCAAGTTTTTTCTATAGAAAAAAATTCGTCAGGACCTCTGGTCCAAGTTTTTTCTATAGAAAAAAATTCGTCAGGACCTCTGGTCCAAGTTTTTTCTATAGAAAAAAATTCGTCAGGACCTCTGGTCCAAGTTTTTTCTATAGAAAAAAATTCGTCAGGACCTCTGGTCCAAGTTTTTTCTATAGAAAAAAATTCGTCAGGACCTCTGTTCCAAGTTTTTTCTATAGAAAAAAATTCGTCAGGACCTCTGTTCCAAGTTTTTTCTATAGAAAAAAATTCGTCAGGACCTCTGGTCCAAGTTTTTTCTATAGAAAAAAATTCGTCAGGACCTCTGGTCCAAGTTTTTTCTATAGAAAAAAATTCGTCAGGACCTCTGGTCCAAGTTTTTTCTATAGAAAAAAATTCGTCAGGACCTCTGGTCCAAGTTTTTTCTATAGAAAAAAATTCGTCAGGACCTCTGGTCCAAGTTTTTTCTATAGAAAAAAATTCGTTAGGACCTCTCGTCCAAATTTTTATAGAAAAACATTGGACCAGAGGTCCTGACGAATTTGTTTCTATAGAAAAACGTTGGACCTGTTGTTTCACGATTTTCTATAGAAAAATTGGCAAATGATTTCACTATAGCAAATAATGAAGCCAAGGGTCTCACTTTTTTCTTAAATAATTAATCTTAAAAGATATTATTATTTTTAATACCACAACATTTGATGCAAATCTGATATTGGCCCAACCCGCAAAACCAATCAAACCATCCCAAAAACATAAACTATTAATTATTTTCAAAATATCATTGGCCTGGATTTTCGTTTCAATTTAGAATATACATGAGAGGAGTGCCAAAATCTCTACCAAATAAACTCTAATAAACATTTAATGTCTTAATTACCAATAGGAGAGGAAGAAGAAGAACCAAAAACAAATGATAGACGCCAGGCGTTAAATTTGTTATGTCCACTTTTTTTGATTTAGTTTTATTTTATGCATTGCAAACACGACAACCGAATATCCATAGAGGTCGATGACAACCATTAAAAATAAAATGAATTCACACTAGAAAAAAATCTAACTTTCTTTAAGAAAACCCCCCATCCCGGCTAAAATGTATTGACTTCGTATCTGTCTATTTATAGTTGGCACGCAATGTCCGACATTTCCTTTGTTTGAGTTTTTTGTTTTGTATATACTAATCTGGTTAAAATTTATGACCAGATAGGTTACACGCAAAAAATGTGGAAACAAAAAGAATGCCAAGTAAGTTCAAGGTATTATTCGTTTTTTTAAAATAAAGTGAAGAACCCATAGGGAGAACGAGGAAAACTTAAGAAAGAAGACGCAACAAAAAAATAAAATAAAAATAAATTTAAAGTTTTCTTGTGTATGTCTTGTAAGGTAACGCCTAAAAGTATGCTTCAAGAAATGCCAGGTGAGTTAGTGTGTTAATGCCAGAGAAAAGGTCAGAAGTTTTGTTGTTCCGTTTTGGTTTAATAACAGAAAAAACGGGCAGACATTTAAAATTGTAAAACGGGATGTATTTTTAAATAAAAAAATTTGGATTACAGCTTTCAACGATATTTTTAATACAAAAATAACGAACATAGGTTTCCAATATTTTTTTTATAGAAACAACTTGGGCCAGAGGCCCGACGGACTTTTTTAATAGAAAAAACTTGGACCAGAGGTCCGACGGACTTTTTTCTATAGAAAAAATTTGAACTAGATGTCTGACAATTTTTTTCTCTTAAGTTTTCTCGAGGAAAAACTTGGACCAGAGGTCCGACGATTTCTTTTCTATAGAAAAAACGTGTACCAGATGTCCGACGAACTGTTTTCTATAAGAAAAACTTGTGCCAGATGTCCGACGAACTGTTTTCCATAAGAAAAACTTGTGCCAGATGTCCGACAAACTGTTTTCTATAGAAAAAACTTGGACCCAAGGCTCTCAAGAATTTTTTCTACAAAAAAAACTTGGACCCAAGGGTCTCAAGAATTGTTTCTATAGAATTGCGATTATTTTTCTATAGAAAAAACTTGGACCCAAGGGTCTCAAGAATTTTTTCTATAGAAAAAACTTGGACCCAAGGGTTTCACGAATTTTTTCTATAGAAAAAACTTGGAACAAAGGGTCTCACGAATTTTTTCTATAGAAAAAACTTGGACCCAAGGGTCTCACGAATTTTTTCTATAGATAAAACCCAATGGTCTCACGATTTTTTTCTATAGAAAAAACCCAAGGGTCTCACGAATTTTTTCTATAGAAAAAAACTTGGAACCAAGGGTCTCTCGAATTGTTTCTATAGAATTGCGATTATTTTTCTATAGAAAAAACTTGGACCAGAGGTGCGACGATTTTTTTCTATAGAAAAAAACTTAGACCCAAGGGTCTCACGAATTTTTTCTACAGAAAAAACTTGGACCCAAGGGTCTCACGAATTTTTTCTATAGAATCATGATTATTTTTCTATAGAAAAAACGTGCACCAGGTGTGCTACGAATTTTTTTCTATAGGAAAAGAAAACAATTCGTGATAACATAGGGTTCATTTTTTTATATAGAAAAAATCCAGAGTCCTTTGGGTCAAATATTTTTCTACAGAAAAAAATTCGTGAAAACCTTGGGTCCCCATTTATTTTTTATCAACAAATTCTTGCGTCCTCTGTGCCCATTTGTTACCATAGAAAGATCGTGAGATCCTTGGGTAGATTTTTCCTATTGAAAAAAAATCGTAAGGCCCTTGGGTCCATTTTATTCTATATAAAATAAATTCGTGATATCTGTGGTCCTTCGTCGGATTTTTGTTGCAAGTTTTTTCTATGGAAAACATTAGTGAGACCTCTGTTTTGTTTTTTTTGTATAGATAAAATGTCTAGGTTACTGTTTTGTTTTTTAATATTTCTCCGCCTTAAAGTATGCACCACATTGTTTGTGTTTTTGGCTGTACCTTTTTCACCGGACGAAATGGTGATTTGTAACGATATGTCGTTGTTGCGGGTAATTGTATCTTCACACCAGCAATAATCATGATAACAAGAACCACAATAGAATCGAACACTTGACAATTTTCGAATTGAATCGATAAATAAAAAAATTATTTGCGATATTCCGACAATACCAAGTCGTCATTCTTTGTTAAAAGACCGTCAATAACTAAGTGGCTGGATGGGAAAAAAATAAAGGAAAGGAATTTAGTGTTGGTTAGGTTCATTGGTTTTCGTTTGTGTGTTTTTTCGGGGGCCCACAGCAATACCGGCAGAGAAGAAAAAAGGAAATGAAAACAAAAAAACCGACGAAAGAAAGGCGCGTTTCTAGGCAAACATGCGTAGTAGTCATAGGCTCGAAAAATAGAAAAGCAAAACAAAAAAATTATAAACTATTACGGTTTGTGAGTGTATGTATGTAGGTTGGTAGATGTATTTGTTTTTGCAAAGGAACCAGAACATGTGCTCAAGCCTACCCATAGCCAGCCATAGTCATCGGTGGTATTAATCATTCACATTTCTGCAAGTGTGCAGTTTTTTAGGTATTGATATTGTTGTTGTTGTTGTGTTCCCTATCTGTCTGGCCGGACGATTGTTTTGCTGCGTGTTCAACTGTAAATGCGAACCTTTTGCCGGACAAATGTTTTATTTATATACTTCTATTAACTACGTCTAACTCTTGGATGGATTAGGTGGTTTAAACTCTGGGCGGCCAATAACCAATGGTGGATTACCCACCCATTGACAACAATTGCATTTTTATTCTTCGTGTATTTTCTCCTACCAACCATCAGGAGGTGGTTGTTATTATTTACGTAGTTTCCAAACGTGACCTTTTCGATGGGAGAAACTGGGTTGGAAACGGCGGGATTGAGGAATGGCTGCACTGATGAAGAGATTTATTTGCAAATATAGGCTGGCTGTCGTATTGATTTTTTGGTTTATTGACGTCGTACGAAAAAACACAGTTCCCAAAATGGGGTTGTTCTTCGGTTAACTGTTGCATGAAAAGGCGGCAAGAGGATGCATTATTGTTGCCAATAGTTTCCTCACCAAAAAACGTGCATAGTTGTCGACGTCAATGGCGAACATGTGTACTAAACTATGTATGCTGATTGTTCTGGGTGCAATGATTTGAAATATGCCCTCGTGATATGAGGGCATGACGATTCACGTTTAAATATGGGTGATGGGAAAGGTGGGAATTAGCCACGAGATAGAAAAATGGGAGTACTACAATGTTAGTGGAGTAGGATAAAAATAATCACGTGCCGTCTATGTGTTTGCGAGACCTCTAATCCAATGTTTTTCTATAGAAACAATTTGCAGGACATGTCATCCAACTATAGAAAAAAATCGTGGGACCTCTGACCCAAGTTTTTTTTATTATAAACAAAAGTTCGTGAGAATCTTGCGTCCGCTTTTTTCTAAAAAAAATCGTGAGAACCTTGGGCCCATTTTTTTTCTAAAAAAAACCTGACACCCTTGGGTCCATTTTTTTATAGAAAAAAAATTTGATATCCCTGGTCCAAGTTTTTTTCTAAAGAAAAAATTGGTGAGACCCTTGGTTCCATTTTCCTACAGAATTCCCTGGTCCCGGTATTTTACAATAATTACAATAATTCCTTTTTTACACTTGAAAAAAAAAAAATGCAACTTACCACTGAACCGCGAACTGGTGAAAAATCTCGCTTTCTCTCCTGTAAGGCATAAATATTTGGTGACTGAGGCCGCTGTGGTTGTTGCTGCTGATTATGTGCTGTCAACTGGGGTTTAACTGAACGATCAAATTGTGGTACAGATGGCTTTGTTGGTATCACTTCTGGTGCAGCTGGAGGTGGTGGTGTGGGTGACGGTTCACGATCTAATTGTTCTTGTTCGGCTTGTTGTTTTTCCATTTGTCTTGTTTGGAACATTTTTTTATTCTCTCTAGCAATGGCAAGTTGTATGGCTCGTTGTTCTTTTTCCCTTTCCAACTGTTCATCACGTCGTAGACGTTCCTCAATTTTTGCTTCAATTTCCTTGGTCTTTTCGACAACCTCTTGGGTTTGTTGTGGTAAACGTGTAGCACTTTCCTGTTCACGACGTTTATATTCTTCCAGCTCTTCGCGCAGACGAATATTGTCAAGTTTCTGGAAAATAAAAAAATATATCTTTAGCATCCGAAATTCAAATTAGGGTTTTACAAACGCACATAATCCTCTGCCACACTTTCCAATTGCATCATTTTATAGAGAATTTCCTGATCGGCCGGATCCAATTGTTTCTTTTCGTATATTCTATTCCATTGTTTGGCCACCTTCTGCAATTCCTCGTCATTTTCTTGGGCCTTTTCCAGCAGGACCTCCTGTTCTTTGACTATCTCATCGATGGCCTTTTCTTTTTCCTTATAGGTTTGTATGGCCGCCATCTTGCTGGATCGATCAATAATTGGCCGTATGGGTGAAGTAGCTGTGTTGGTGGTACTTAAAATTTCATCTTTCATTTGAATATCAAACACTGAAGGATATTCAATATCATCAATGAGATTCATATTATTTTGTGGTGTTGATGGTGCCTGCACCATTGGATTTGTACACATAAATGGATAGACCATTTTGAAGTATTCATAACCACCTTCAAGAATTTTGATAGGTGAACGATAGGTAACATCAGGGTCCCACTGAAAAAAGGAAAATATTAATTGTTAATGAAATCCGTTAAATAACCTTAGTTCATAGAAAAAATCGTGAGACCCTTGGGTAAATTTATTTATATAGAAAACTAATTCTTGAGGCCCTTGGGTTCATTTTTTTTTCTATACAAAACAAATCGTGAGACCCGTGAGTCCATTTTTTTTCTATACAAAAAAATTCGTGAGACAAGAGCATCCATTTTTTCTATAGAAAAAAAATGGTGTGACCCTTGGGTCCCTTTTTTTCTATAGAAAAAAATTCGTGAGACCCTTTGGATCCGTTTTTTCTGTAGTAAAAAATTTGTGAGACTCTTGGGTCAATTTTTTCTATAGGAAAAAAATCATGAGAAACGGGTCCATTTTTTCATCAGAAACAAATTTGTAACACCCTTGGGCCCAAAAAAATCGTGAGACCCTTGGGCCCATTTTTTTCTATAGAAAAAAAAATCGTGAGACCCTTAGGTCCATTTTTTTTCTATAGAAAAAAAAATCGTGAGACTCTTGGGTCAATTTTTTTTTTCTATAGGAAAAAATTCGTGAGAATCGGGTCCACTATTTTCTTCAGAAAAAAATTTGTAACATTTTTTTCTATAGAAAAAAAATTGTGAGGCCCTTGGGTCCATGTTTTTCTATAAAAAAAATCGTGAGACCCTTGGGTCCATTTTTTTTATAGAAAAAAAAAACGTGAGACACTTGGGTCCACTTTTTTCTATAGAAAAAATAGGGAGACTCTTGTGTCCATTTTTTTCTATAAAAAAATCGTGAAAACTTTGGGTCCATTTTTTCTATAGAAAAAAGTCGTTCGGACCGTTGAGTCCAAGTTTTTCTATAGAAACAAAATCGTAAAACAATGGATTTTTTTCTTCTACTTACATTTTGAAGAATATTAAGTAACACAGCTATAGCCGAGCCCTCCGGCGGATTTGGATCTGAACAACTCCAATCCATTAGAACCACTTGATCTTTTATAGCTCTGGCTGACCATAACTTTTTCGATTCCGGATCTAGTTTGTCCTGCAACTTTCCAGCTGACATACTACAATAAAAATTAAAACAATAAATTAAGGAAGGACATTGAGACCTCATTTATCCTACCCATATTGTATTAATTCCTGCGGAACATTAAATGCCAACGAATAGTTCAAATGTGATGATTTATAATCCTCAGCTGGCCGGCAGTCCATAATCAATACCTTCAAGGTCTTCATTGATTCGTAAAGCTCTTGAGAAGACATCAAACGCAATGAGGATGGCAGACCATTTCCTTCAATAACTTTTGGTGAATTTGAACGTGACCGTTCTTGATTTATCGATGCATTTAGATTGACTTTTGTAATCTGCGGCAAAGTCTTAGCATGTAAACGATCATAACGTTCATTCAGCGATTTTGTTAACATTTCCAGACGATCCATGGTCATTTTATTGGAACGATTGTCGCCCAACATTTGCCGAATCATTGGTTTACTTTCATTGTAATCTTTTTTCTTGTAGATTATATTCAGCAGACTAAAGTACTTCGTGTAGAAGACATAGGCCATCTCCTCATCACCCAGGAGATCATGTTTTTCAGCCTCAGCAATAAGTTTCCGTGCTGTCTCAAGTAACCTAATTAGACGGCAGCAATATCAACAACCCCGAATGCAATGGAAGAAATGGTGCGGGCGATGGTGGTGGGAGGGGTGAGCCAGCGTAATACAAGACAAGACGATTATTAGAAACTGTGATGATAATGTAAAAAGCCGAAAAGAGAAATTCTACTTACATTTTCATTTTGCGATCCCGGACATCTGGTATCTCTGATTTCTTCTCCAGGTCATCTATATTTTTACATAAATATAAATCTTTTATACGCGACATTTTGTTTTTCTACTGCTTTGCTTAAAGTTTATGTTTTTTCTTCCTTAAATTATTAACAAAAACAATGGGTTGTGTTTTTCCAAAACGTAAAAGTTCAACTACAACTGTTCACTTGAAGTGAACTGACGGAATATTTACATAATTGAGCAATTCATAATAGCTGTTCAGTGAATCGAACGATCGGAATTAGAAGATTTTATTTCATCTAAATTCAGAATGGAACCTTTTATAAACGAGCAATATACGAGGAGACTTTATGGAAGAACTGAAGGCTTATAAGACTTAAAAGACTAGCTGGCAGGCAGGATATCTTTATAGATGAGCAGGGGGTCTTTATAGAAATGATAAAGACTTTTAGTCTTTATAGACAATTAGAAGCTAGGCAAGTTGAAAGGACAGATAGACTATAGAGACAAAATGAAGGTCAGGAAGCCTTTATAAACGAGCTGAAGCCTTGGGAGTCTTTATTGGGTTAGAAGCATAATAAAGGCTCAGATAGCCTTTATTTACAAAGTGCGAGTCATTGAACCTTTATAGACGTGATGAAAACCAAGGGCATTTTTACATTATCTAAAGACCGAGAGTCTTTATATACGAGCTAAAAGGCCATGGAGTTCTGGTGAGAATCAGGGAATCTTTATAAACGAACTAAAGGCAAGGAGTCTTTAAAGGCGGCCTGAAGGCTATTGAAAGCTTATTGACAAGCTGAAGGCAGGGAGTTTTTATACACGAGCTAAAAGCCAGGGAGTCATTAAATACGAGGAAAAGACAACGGAGTCTTTGCACACGACTGAAGGCTAAATAGTTTTCATAGGAGAGCTGAGGACTAAGGAACCAGTATTGGTATGTTGGTAGCCTGTGAGTATTTATAGACGAGCCGCGGAGCATTGCGTCTTTAGATAGACATGCTAGACTTAGACTTAAAGAATAAGAAGACAAGCCAAATGTCAGTGAGTTTTTACAGACGGGTTTGAAGGACTTTAACACTTCCTTTTAGGAAAGCTAAAGTGCAGGGAGTCTTTGTAAGCATGGTGCAGGCCAGGGAGACTTTATACAATATATGAAGGTCATTGAACCTTTATAGACGAACTGAAGGCCAAGGAGCATTTGATTGACGAGTTGGACATTTTTATAGACAAGCTAAAAACCAGTCTTTCAGTATAAATGAGCCGACTGAAATTTTGTCTTAATAGACAAGCTAAGGAGATTAAAATGTCGGGGTGTTTTTACAGACAAGCTTGAAGCCCGGTGGTCCTTATAGGCCGATGATCCTTATAAGTGAGCTATAGGTCAGAGAATTTTTGTAGACAAGCTGAATGTCCGGGAGTCCTTATAGACGTGATTCATATCAGTTAGTCTGACAAGCTGAAGAAAGTCTTACAGATGAGTTGAAGCCATGAAGTCTTTATAGAATGCCAAGAAGTATTTCATAGACGATTTGAAGGTCTGGGAGTTTTTATAGACAAGCTAAAATTCAGGGAGTCAATAAAGGCCTTAGAATGTCGGGGAGCCTTAACAGACACCCTTGAAGGTCGGTGATCAATATAGTGAGCTAAAGATCAGGGAGACTTTATAGCCAAGCTAAAAGTTAGGAAGTCCTTATAAACTCGATGCAGATCAGTGAATTTGACATGCTGATGAAAGGTTTAAAAGACCAGCTGAAGACTCGTGGACACTTTACAGACTACACGAAGCCAGGAAGTTTTTATAGACGAAATGAAGACCAAAAGTTTTTATAATGGAAGGCAGCTGAAAGTCAGGGAGTTTTGGTGGACGACCTGAAGACCTGGGAGTTTTAGTAGACGAGCTCAAGGGCAGGGAGTTTAATATATGCGATTCCGTAGAACATCTAGAGAAAAGGGAATCGTTGTATAGATGAGCTAAAGGCAAGGAGTCGTTATTGACGAGGAGAAGAGCAGGAGTCTTAAGGTCAGGTCGTTTTATTAAGTGAGCTGAAGACAGAGAGTACTTCCATATAGACCAACTGAAGGCCAGGGATTATTTTTATAGACGAGTTGAACTGGGAGATTTTCCAGGCGACTTGATGATCCTGAGGTTTCTTGATGGATAAAAAACTTTTTAGCTGAATTTTGTTAGGCCACCTGGTGATTCTAAGTGCATTTTTCAAAAGAAGAAACGAAAATTTCTTCGTAAATATTATTAAATGTAGGTTCATGTGGGTAAAAAACATATTCGACATGTTTTTTCTATAGCATTCACATATTCGGTTCTTGAAGTTTCTAGGCTAATTTTCCAGTCAAAAGAATCTTTATTTTCATATTTTGGGATCTTGAAGGTATAACCGCTCTATTTTCGAACTTATAAGGTTCTAGACTCAACCGAAGTGCCTGTAATTTGGCATTCCAAAATCTTGTTGGCCACATTTTCCAATCGAAAAGACTTTCATTTGAATTTCAATATCTGATTCACAGAAAATTTTCAAAATAGGTCCATATTTTAATATAGTCCCATATACAAGTGCCGAATTTTGAAATTCTGGGATCTTGTTTTCTCAGAAAATGTTAAATACAGGTTCATTATTTGACGTTGTTCCCCCCATATAATGACCTTACCCAATTTTATGCAGTTTGATAGTCTTCGGAGCATTTTACAATCGAATAAGCAGAAATTCTGAATTCCTAGTTCCGCTCCAATAAGTCATATTCAATTTCCCACTGTGTACGTAATAGTTCAATGCAACTATTCACTCATATGAACTAACGAAATATCGATAAACCGGCAATCGATAAATAATAAGTGGTAATTCCAATAAATCGTTTGGTATGGCAACAAATAATGTAAGTGTAGACAAGAACCTGGTAAAATAATTCGGACATAGAGGGAGTTTTGATAGTTTAATATTCTTTAAAAAGCCATGTCTATTGAGCTGTACTGAGGTTTACAAATATTCTTTAAAAACGCCATGCCTATGGAGCTCAGAATGGCCTTAAACATATTCTTTAAAAATTCACGCCTATGGAGCTCAGAATGGCCGTAAAAATATTCTTTAAAAATTCACGCCTATGGAGCTCAGAATGGCCGTAAAAATATTCTTTAAAAATCCACGCCTAAGGAGCTCAGAATGGACTTAAAATATTCTTTAAAAATCCACGCCTATGGAGCTCTACTGAGGCTTAAAAAATATTCTTTAAAAATTCACGCCTATGGAGCTCAGAATGGCCGTAAAAATATTCTTTAAAAATTCACGCCTATGGAGCTCAGAATGGCCGTAAAAATATTCTTTAAAAATCCACGCCTAAGGAGCTCAGAATGGACTTAAAATATTCTTTAAAAATCCACGCCTAAGGAGCTCAGAATGGACTTAAATATTCTTTAAAAATCCACGCCTATGGAGCTCTACTGAGGCTTAAAAAATATTCTTTAAAAATCCACGCCTATGGAGCTCTACTGAGGCTTAAAAAATATTCTTTAAAAATCCACGCCTATGGAGCTCTACTGAGGCTTAAAAAATATTCTTTAAAAATCCACGCCTATGGAGCTCTACTGAGGCTTAAAAAATATTCTTTAAAAATCCACGCCTATGGAGCTATATTGAGGCTTAAAATTATTCTTTAAAAATCCACGACTATGGAGCTCACAACACCCTAATCATATTCTTCAAAAATCTACGCCTTCATAATTTAAATAATCCATTATTCCTAAATGTATGCACCATCTTTCGCATTTCTCTCTCCAATTAATTAAAACTTGATGAAATTGCATTCAATGTTCGAAATTTACCTGAACTGCAAAGCATTTCACCCACAACTCCAAAAATAATCCACGATGCAACAAAAGAGAAAGGACATCAACAAATTTGTTGACGATAAATTATCTACAAATATTTCTTAATTTCTTTGCCGATATTATTAGCTTCACACCCTCATGGCTATGCTGTGAACATAAATTATGGACTGAATAATCGAATCGAATGGGGTATAAAGTCTAAAAACATGACAATATAGTCTCCAATTGAAAGTGTGTGCGGAACAGGACGAGGAGGGGTAGGATGAGATGAAAGCATTTTCATTATCACATACTTTATACACTATCGTCTTCACACACACACACACATATATATATATATATATATATACCTACATGTTTACCACCCAAAATGTGTCCATCCCATTGAGTGCTACAATGCAGTTTTTAGGTCTGTTACAAAACACTGCATACTTTTAGGCTCATAAATTATCCATTATTTGTGCATAGTTTGTAGTCGTTTGTCTGTCTGTTGAGTACAACGTTGTCTCGATTGCTTAGCTTTCGTGCTGGGGGTTTGTGTGTGGAAACATGTGTGGGAGGCTATGAATAGGTGTTTGGAAAGGCTTTTATAGGTGTGAGGAAGAGCTTGAAAATTCTGCTAAAATTTTGTTCCTTTTTAACTAATTGTTATATTAGTGTAGACATGGCTTGCATGACCATTGTTATAAGCTAACGTAGCAATTATTTTTTCGCCATAATTTGAATGGAAATTCTTTTGACTGGTGCTATGTTGAGGAAAAATTTTAGTTTTTCTAAAACGAAGGTAGGAAGTGGGACATTTATAAAATTAATTTTTTAAAAATATTTTTTGAAGGGTTGAATTAAAAAAAAATCCACGCCAATGGAGCTCTTTTGAGACATAAAAATATTCTTTAAAAATCCACGCCAATGGAGCTCTTTTGAGACCTAAACATATACTTTAAAAATCCACGCCAATGGAGCTCTTTTGAGACCTAAAAATATTCTTTAAAAATCCACGCCAATGGAGCTCTTTTGAGACCTAAAAATATTCTTTAAAAATCCACGCCTAAGGAGCTCTGTTGAGGCCTAAAAATATTCTTTAAAAATCCACGCCTAAGGAGCTCTGCTGCGGCCTAAAAATATTCTTTAAAAATCCACGCCTAAGGAGCTCTGCTGCGGCCTAAAAATATTCTTTAAAAATCCACGCCTAAGGAGCTCTGTTGAGGCCTAAAAATATTCTTTAAAAATCCACGCCTAAGGAGCTCTTTTGA